CTTTGATCCTGATAAGGAACACTTTATTCAAAAGACTACTGTTAATGGGGTTTTGCAGTAGGGGAGGGAGATTGGGCACAATTCCAAATACGACCAAAAAAATAAATAAATAAATAAAAAGTGGGGATTTTGGCTAAGAAGCAGGGCAGAGGCATGAATGGATAGAAAATCACTAAGAGGGTAAGATAATTCTTCCTAAATTAACCTAACAGGATTCTTGCTAAAGGCAGGCCAGGGTGATCAGATACAGAGGGTGATGATTCTCTATAAGCTTACTGTCTTAGTTCATTTTATGTTGCTATAACAGGATGCTACAGACTGGGTCAATTATAAACAAAAGAAATAGCTGGGTGCAGTGGCTCACACCTGTAATCCCAGCACTTTGGGAAACTGAGGCAGGAAGACTGCTTGAGCCTAGGAGTTCAAGACTAGCCTGAGTAACATAGTGAGACCTTGTCTCTACTAAAAATAAAAAATTACTAGGCATTGTGGTACATACCTGTGGTCCCAGCTACTCAGGGGTCTGAGGCAGGAGGATCCCTGGAGCCCAAGAGGTCAAGGCTTCAGTGAGCCATGATCATGCCACTGCACTCCAGCCTGGGTGACAGAGCAAGACCCTGTCTCAAAAAATGTTAAAAAAAGAAAAGAAATATTTCTTACAATACTGGAGGCTGGGAAGTCCAAGGTCAAGGGGCCCACATCTGGGGAGGGCCTTCTTGCTGCATGATCCCATGGCAGAAGGTGAAAGGAAAGAGATTATAAGTGAGAAACAGCAAAAAGAGGCTGAGCTCACTTTTTTTTTTTTTTTTTTTTTTTTTTTTTTTGGGCTACGATCTGGCCTTTTTTTCCCAGGCCGGTGTTGTGCGGTGCCATCTTGGCTCACTGCAACCTCCCGCCTCCCGCCTCCCGCCTCCCGGGTTCAAGTGATTCTCCTGCCTCAGCCTCCCAAGTAGCTAGGATTACAGGTGCCCACCATAACGCCCGGCTAAATTTTTGTATTTTTAATAGAGATAAGGTTTCACCATGTTGGGCAAGCTGGTCTCAAACTTCTGACCTCAGGTGATCCGCCCACCTCAGCCTCACAAAGTGCTGGGATTACAGGCATGAGCCACCACACCCAGCCTGAGCTCACTTTTTAAATAAATTCATTCTCATGATAACAAAAGCACTCCTGTGATAACAGCATTAATCCATGCACGAGGGTGAAGCTCTTATTAGGCCCCATCTCCCAGCACTGTTGCATTCACGGGGATTATTTCCAACACATGAACTTTTGGGGACATATTCAAACCACTGTACTGACTTAACATCACTCTAAAACTGAGTAATGTGAATCCACAAGCATGGACACTAAAGCTCAACACCTACAGGATTTAGAGGAGCCTGACTAGAGTTAGGTACAGGAGGGATCTTTTGCCAGTAGTGACAGCTAACCTAGTCATGGTGAGAGAGAAGCAAAACTTGCTGGGAGAAGACACATCTATGCTGAGCCATAGCACATGAATACACTTTAGCCAAGCAGAGTGTGAAACTGGAAGATAAGAGCATCTCAGCCAGAGGAATCTACCTGTTCAAAGGCCAAAAGGTGAAAATAAGGATGGCACACAAAGAAAACAACGAGAAATGTAGCCTGGCTAGAGCCCAGTGTACAGAGATAGAATTAAGGATGTATTAATTAGCTATTGCTGTATAACAAACCATGGCAAAACTCAGTGGCTTAAAATAATAACAGCATTATTGCTGCTCATGAGACTATGAGTCAGTTGAGCAGTTCTTGTTTCAGTTAGGCTCATTCATGCATTGGCAGTCAGCTGAGTCCTGGGCAGGCAGCCCTTTCTTGCATGCCTAGGCATCAGCTAGCTGTAGACAGGTCTAGGATAGCCTTGGCTGTGATGACTGGGCTGTCTTCCAAATCAGCTCCCATTCTCCAGCAGACTGGCGTGGCCTGTCCACATGGTGGTGGCAGGGTTTCAAGACAGAGCAGAAATACTCCAGACCTCTTGAGGCCTAGGCCCAGAATTGACACAGGGCCACTACCAGTGTATTTGATGAACGAAAGCAAGTCACATAGCCATCCTAGAGTCAAGGGGCAGAGAAACAGACTCCACCCCTTGATGAGAGAAGTTGCACAATCTTTTTGTAAATCATGTGAACACAAGGAGGGAGAATTTGCGTGGATTTTTTTTTTTTTTTTTTGGCCCCCAAATCAATCTACTGTAGAGAGAGAGCAATGGCAAGAAGTCAACCAAGAGAGACAGGTGAAATCATGAAAAGTCTTATTTGCCAAACTCAGGAGTTGGAGAGGAGATAGGGAGCCATGGAAGAGTGACATGATCAGACAGGAACTCTAGACAGGCGTTGCTTTAACCCAAAAGGTAGTTGATCAGCCTGGACAGCATAGTAAGATACCATCTCAACAAAAAATATAAATTAAAAACACAGCCAGATGTGGTGGTGTGTACCAGTGGTCCCAGCTACTTAGGACGCTGAAACAAGGCAGGAAGATGGCTTAAGCACAGGAGTTTGAGTCTGTAGCAAGCTAGATAGTGCCACTGACCTTCAGTCTGGGTGACAGAACAAGACTTTGTCTCTAAAATAAAAAAGACAGTTGATAAAGGCCCGGACAATGGCAGGAGAGATGGAACTCAGTCATTGGGCTCAAGAGCACCATGGAGGAACCTGCTGTAGGGTTGAAAGGAGGGAAACGCCTCAGGTTGCACAGCTGGTGAGCAGCAGAGGTAGATTAAAGCAAAGTCTTCCACATCCCTATCTGATATCACTGCCATTCCTCTTCTGGGTGCAGTATCTTAAGTTCAGGGATCCGTTCCACCCCTATTCGTTGCAGTGTTCCCCTGGCCGTTTTCTGACTCTTTCACCCGGAAACAGACACACCAAGGCCATTCTAAGACGTTAGCCTCATGGAGATATAAAGTCTAGTTTTACCACAGCTAACAGTCAGAGACCTAAAGCCTTTAGAGATAAGGAAATAACAATAGACGCTAATAACTAGCATGTCTACCTGGTGTGGCTTGGAGAATCGTTAACCATTGTTAGATAAACAAATCATGGCTGTTAGTCACCTAGGACCATGCTTCTCAGGGTTGTTTATGTGAGAAGGAGCTCAGTTGCAAATCAACACCTGTCATTAGGAGTCTGTCATCCATTCTTTTGACTTTCAACTTAGGCCTTGTGTTTGAAGCCAGTTTGTTCGCTCTGCCCACAGCATCTTAACTCTTCGGCACCTCCTCCCAGCCAGCCGTCTGTGTGCCTCGGTTCAATTTCAACTGCTCTGTTGAATGACTTCTCCAGAGTTCCTCACAGTGAATCGCATGTATGCCAAATAAATATTGCCTGTATTCTATCTGATCATTGCAAACACACCTTCCAAATCAGATTAAATCTACCTAATTGATTTTACACATTGTGATAACAAACAAAAGCTACTTCTGTTTATTTATAGTAGAAATTTGCACCCCCACCCTAACTGCACAGCAGTTTTCTATAGAAAAAGGGGCTCAAAACACTTTGTGAATGTTATTTTGTTTAATATTAGACCTTCATTGGATGCATAGTGTGTGGCTATTTTCCTCCATTCTTTAGCTTATCTGTTTATTCCGCTGATAGTGTCTTTTGCTGTGTAGAAGCCGTCTGGTTTATCAGGTCCCACTTGTGTCTTTTCTGTTTTTGTTGCAATTGCTTTTGGTGCTTTCATCATGAAATCTTTGCCAGGGCCTATTTCAGAATGATATTTTCTAGGTTATCTTTAAGGGCTTTTCATAGTTTTAAGTTTAAGACTTAGGTTTTATTATATTTTAGTTGATTTTTTAATACAGTGTAAGGAAGGTGTTCCAGTTTCCATCTTCTGCACATGGCGAGCTAGTTATCACAGCATCATTTCTTGGATGATGGTAGGTGTGCAGCACTATTTCTGGCATTTCTCTTCTTTTCCTCTGGTCCATGGGCCTGTTTTTGTACCAGTACCCTGAGGGATGACTTTGAGGAATTTAAGACTGCACTGGAGAAAATAATTGCAGATTTGGTGGAAATAGCAGTTTTGTGAAAATGGAGGGTGAAGGACTGGAAAAAAGCCCATAGCAGCTTTAGTATTTACAAATGACTGCCCTAATGATTATTTCACATCTTGAAAAAAAAGTTACGCATGCTAAAGAGATTTAGAATATAAATTTTTCTTGAGCATTACACACTTGGCTACTAAATTTTAACAAAATGTCAATCTTTTCTTGACAATTACATCAAGCAACTTTCTGAGATGTGAAATAATTTTTTTGTGTGTGTGGAGATCTTTCTTGTAGAGATTACTTAGACTGAGAAAGCTGAGGTAGAACAGGTTGGCAGTGGATTACATGGGGTTTGTTTGAGACAGGCTAAATGTGAATGTCCGTTAGACTCTAACATGGAGATGGAGAGTTCACATTGTGATCTTTCATTCAGAATTTGTAGGAAAAAACTGAGCTAGAAATATTTTGGGGGGATTTCTCAGTCTAGAGGTGATATGTAAAGCAGAGAATATGTAAGATCATCAACAGAATGACAGACCAAAAATAATCCAAAAAATTTGTCTAGAGCACTCCAAAGTTGATGGATTCCTCCAATTTTATGGATTAAGTAATTTATGGAAAAATCTTGAGCTGTAAACATGCTGGGATGCCTATCAGCTGTAAGACATGGCTCGAGAAAGACTCTTTGATGGGGCTAATGTGGCCACCAGAGTAAGAATAGTTGAGAGTAAATGTGTTATTAAGTGTGACCAGGTAGAAAACCATTGTCCTCCTCAAAATGCTTTCATCGTTAAGACATGAAATTATCCCGAGTTTTCAAAAGTGTTGTCTAAAATGAAAATCTTGTTTTCATGATTAGCTGATTTACTTGGTTCCCCTGAAAATTATGTAAAAGAATTAAATGACTTTGTAAGAGTTGTTCTTAATATTTACTAAAGTTTGAAAACAGTGTGCTATTTTACATACCCTGTTTCCAAAATATTTTTGAAGACTTGGAACATTTGTTTGTTAGATATATTATTTCCCATTTAAATCTTGAGAGTAACACATCATGGCTTTGGGATATTTTGTGTTTTGTGCTTGTAACTATGCCTTATTTAATGTATAAAACATTTAAAAGATTGAATATAACAAATTAATAGCATATTTTTAGAATCTAAGAATATTTTTTAATATAAGATATTCAGGGGAATGTGATCAGTCAATGACGTCTTTGATGTCCTGCCCCACCACAGACCCACAGGGTTAATGCTGTAACTGGCACACATTGAAGGTCCAGGCCTGTCCCTCATCTGTGGGGTTTGTTGAAACATTGTGGAAAGTTTCCTTTTATGAACAAGACATATTATCAAATAAAAGAGTGCTGATGTATTTTTCCAGGTGGAGGTGTGCTCGACCCTATCCTATGAAACCTCCCCATACCTGACTCGTAATCACTTTTCCTGATGGGTGCCCTCCCATCTCCATAACCACCCCTCCCACAGGGATGCCTCCTCCCAAGGCTCCAGAAGCTCTAACCCTCACGCTGCTAGAGGGAGCCCATGGATTGCCAATCACCCTGTCGATATCGCTCACCCTCCAGAGTCCATGCTGCCTGTGCTTCTTTCTACAACAGCTAGAGAGGTACTGACTGATAACCACCTGTCACTTGCCCCTTTCCCAGAAAGGAATGAATTTCCCACTCCCACCGCCGAAATGAGTCTTAAATGGTTGTTATCACCTTCTACCCCCAGTCCTCAACTTAAAGGAATATCACAATTTGGAGGCACTAATGTGTTGGAAGGAAAGAAAGCATACAAGTTCTGGAGATCAAAGTAGGTGAAGAATCTTTAGGAGAAAGCATTTAACTTTTTCAAAATGAAAAATAAAATTTATTGTGTTTATTTTCTGTCATTGGGCTTTGCTATAGCGTGCTGAAGTTGCCAAGCAGGAGGGATTGAACCAGAGGCAATGTGTCCAGTCACCAGCATAGAGACAGCCTCTGTGTCACCATCCACATGTAGGGCCTTCTGGTAGACCTCATAAAACACCCTCTATGTTAATATTCATCAGAGAATGGATAATTAGGGTGGTCAGCAAGACTAGAAAGAGAAAGAAAAACGCACACTATGAATGACAATGACTCCGTTACTAGCGGGTAGTACAGTGATTTCTAGGAAGCTGCCACTAGTGTGGCTGTTAAGAAATTCATCTTCTGACCACTGTAGAATCTGCATTTCTTAGTTTAATGAATGTGACTTTATTATATCTGTATTTTCAAAATAAAGAATTATTTAATTCTATTCTATTCCTGGCCTGAAACTTAACACATGAAACACATGAAGTCAAATGTTCAAACATATTTCTCAACATCTGTCAACAGAGCAAAGAGATATTCTAATCTTTTCTATTTCAAATTCTCGGTAAAAACAGGAATGCATTCTGCCTTACGTTGAAGAGGAATAAGCAAGCTATATGCTTGTCACTAATAAACAATTTTGAGTGTGACAATTATACTGGTAACAACTATACTTTACTACTTTACTTATTACTTACTACCTGTCTATCACATGCAACATATTTGTTAGATTCAGAAATGCAATTTGTTGTTTATGACATAGGGTCCAGTATCTAAGAAGCTACAATGCTAAGCATTTCTATAGGTAGAAAAAGCCCAAAATATGAAGACACAGATAAATGACTGCTCACACGTATAGTTATAATTTGTTAATTAGAGAATTGAGGCTATCCCATGTGATTGTGCCAATTGCAAACACTTGGAAGCCTGCAAGTGGTTTACTCTAGACCATATTTGAGTTCTACTAAATAACAATAGTACTGATTTAATGATCCTAAAAAAAATTAATTGGTTGTGAAAAGTTCTAATGCTTGCCTCTTTTCCTTTTCTTTTTATCATTTCCTCTTTCATTTTTTATTTTCCTCTAAATGAAAAAAATACTAATAATAATATCTACCAAATTTTGAGTTTTTATGATGTTCCATTCAGCTTGTTTTTTTCATACATTATCTCATTATCTCTATTACTTGTTAAAATCTCTGCTGCCAGCAGTTACATATCTTTCTTTTCACTCTTTATGAGTGATTTTCTATGAATCCTAGAATCTTAGAACATAGACGAATAGTAAACGTCTTTTATTGGTTATAAATTATCTTCAACAATGTTGCTTTTGCATCCACACTCTCTATTTGATTTTAAATTTCTTAATTTTCTGCGCTGAGCACTTCATATTGCAGAATGTCAAGGCCAAGTGCTGCTATTCACTCCACTAAGACAGACTTTGTGGAGGCAAACGCAGTGTTTGGGTCATGGGAAAATATGCAAAGAAAAGGAGGAAAAAGGTTTGAAATGATTAAAAATGCTTAATTGACAGGATCTAGAAAGCAATTCCATATGAAGGAGGTGGGAATTGGAACCTGGCCCACAAGGTTGATGTAAATGCCTTTGATGTGGTAAGAAATTGAGCAGGTGGGGAAGAAAGTTGTATAAACACAGATTTGGGAACTTCTAATGCAGCCACATGGGCAGGATCCACAGCATGTCCACTAGACAGTTGTAGAAACACCAGGCCTATATGGAAGGGGCAGATTCAGCAATGATGTTGCCTGCTCTGGAAAGTTCCATGGAGTCAGGGGAGCAGAGTCACAAGCTGACCCACGCTGACCCTGGACCACTCACACTGCCAGAGAACAGAGCTCTGGGGTGAATCCAGGAGGAGGGTTCCAGAAAGCTCCTGTCTCCCCTCTGACTCACACTGGCCTCTGTGCCCCTGGTGTGGAGGTCACTCCAAACACCCATCCTACATTCCTCCTCTGAAAATAAATTAGGACACCCATTACCAAAGTTACTTACACACGAAGGTTCAAATACCGAATATTTTTGTTTAGGCCATCTATGGTTTTCATGTCCTCTGAAGTCAACTGGAATTCAAATACCTATCAAAGTAATAAAAAAAAAATGGTCATCAGAGAAATGCAAATCAAAACTACATTGAGATACCATCTCACGCTGGTTAGAATGGCGATCATTAAAAAATCTGGAGACAACAGATGCTGCAGACGATGTGGAGAAATAGGAACACTTTTACACTGTTGGTAGGAGTGTAAATTAGTTCAACCATTGTGGAAGACAGTGTGGCAATTCCTCAA